ACAGTCAGTTTACAATGTTGCATCAACTTCTGGTGTACAGCTCAATATTTCAGTCATATAGGAACATACATATATTCGTTCCCATATTCTTTTTAACCATAAGTTACTACAAGATATTGAATATAGTTCCCTGTGCTATACAGTATAAATTTGTTGTTTATCTATTTTATATATAGTAGTTAGTGTCTGCAAATCTCAAACTCCCAATTTATCTCTTCCCACCTCCTTCCTCCCCTGGTAACCATAAGTTTGTTTTCTATGTCTGTGAGTCTGTTTCTGTTTTGTAAATAAGTGTGTTTGGTTTTCCTGGGGTGGGGGTAGATTCCACATATAAGTGATATCATATGGTATTTTTCTTTCTCTTTCTGGCTTACTTCACTTAGAATGACATTCTCCAGGTCCATCCATGTTGCTGCAAATGGCATTATTTTATTATTTTTAATGGCTGAGTAGTATTCCATATAATTGTAATTTAAATATCTATCTCTGCAGTTTTTAATGCCTTTGTAAGGCCTACTCCCCTAGCAGCTGTAGTTTGCATCTCAGGATAAGGAAATGCTGTTTCTGCCTCGTTCCACTGCTGTGACCACAGCGTCTAGCAGAGTGTCTCACCAATGACTAACTGGTTGCCAGATTGGATGAATGAATGAATGCATGAATGAATGAAGAGATGGATGATTGAGTATCCAGGTAAGAGAGCAGGAAAGGCCTCCTGGAAGAGCGAGCACAGAGAAGAAGACGGTTATGTTTGGAAACTGTAAGGGCCACAGGTCTGGAATCAGTGAGCGGAGATGTAACTTCTCTTGCAGTTCTGATCATTCAGTCTTCCTATTCCTTCCTAAAAGTCATTGATTCAGCCCAACTCCATCTAAATTTCCCCTCAGGCTGATTTTCTGCCAGGGGAGAATGGCTGCTCACTCAGCAGTCCCTGCCCTCTGTCTGTCTTCTCTGCTCTAGCCCAGCCCGCTGCCTCTCCAGTCCGCTTTCCCACCACGCCCTTGGATTTATGTACCTTAATAATTGTGTGATGCTGTAAAACTAATTTGCACTTGTGCTTGGGTAGGGAAGTGACTGGAGCTTTGCCGTGGCCTTGAGGGCAGAGGAGAGTACCCCACCCCATCCCCAGTTCCCCCTCAGACTCAAAGCATGAGGAGCCAGCCCCATCTGCAAGGGCCCAGCACTGGGAACTGTACCGTAACGCAAGCCAAACGCCAGTCACATAAAGAAATGAAAAGAAAAATCGTTCCACTGTTGCAAAGAAGGGGCCCTGTCACATTCTCCCCATCTCCGGAGAGAGCTCACCTGTTCAGTTTCCCTTTCTACAGGGCTCTGTCAGCACCTGTTTTCTTAGTCACAGTTTGGGAGATGGTGTGGCATTTCTCTTCCCTCTAAATTGTGGCACACGAAGACCGAAAAGCAAAGGGGAGGTTCCTGCCAGGGTCTGGCAGCCCACTTCCCAGTTTCAGAGATCTCAGCAGCATAAAACTGGAAGATCAAAAGAGAATAAACAGAAAAAGTGTTCCTGAAAGAATCATGCATGAGTGTGTGTGGAGGGTGGGCCAGGGGAGGAGGGGGGCACGTGTAGGTCAAACCGACATTAACATTGGATATAAAAGGGGAAAATAATCTGTTTTAAATAATAACAGCCACTATTTCTTGGGCCTCTACAGTGTGCCAAACAGGTGTTTGTATGTAATATTTCATTTAATTTTCAAAACGACCCAGTGAGGTAAGCATGTATGCCCCCATTTTACAGATGAAGAAACAGGCTCGTTGAATCACACAGCTCGTGAGTGGCCAAGCTCCAGGACTGAGATCCTGACACGCTTGCTTTGAACCACTACTCACAACTGCTTTCCTAGGGCTAGAGATCAGAAAGGAAGGAAATTAGTTTATGGGGATGGCACAGGGCTTGAGATTAGACACAAAGAATGTTCTGACAATGAGGGCTGTTTGGTTGTAGTCGGAATAATTGGGCTTGTTAGAGCTCTTTCTTGGAGGGCCTTGAAGGGATGCTTCCATGCCTGGCTGGCTTATGCGGAAGCACTCTCTGTTCCCAGCACGGAGCTGGCCTGTTGGAACTAACTGACGACCTCACTGGGGTTCAAGATTGCCACACGCAGAACCGTTAGATGACAAGAGAAGATAGCACAGGATGTATGTCTGAGTGGTGCTGGAAGATAGCAAAGGCCATAAGCAGACAGATGCTACTGTGGTTTAAAAAAACGAGAACTTTGTGGTCAGGTGGCCTTGTGTTTGAGTCCCTGCTGGCTCCCCTCCTTGTATGTTATTTAACTTCTGGAAGCCTCCATTTCCTAGTCAGTAAAAAGAGGCTAAGAATAGAAACTACTTTGGAGGGTTGCCATGAAAATTAAATAAGATGATACATGCAAAGTGCTTGGCACAGAACTTGGACATGATAAGGATACAATGAATTGAGAGCTGCTGTAATAATTGTTATTGTTGGAGTCCAGAGCGGGGAGAGAACAATGTGGGGGCTGTAGGTCAGTAGCTGAGAAAGTCTTCCTGGGAAATTGGAGTTCTATCCTGGGTCTTGGAGAGCCGATCAGGTAAAATCAAAAGGAAGGAACAGGGACGGGGTAGGGCTCACAGAGTGGAGTGAGACTTCAAATTCTCTATCTTAAAAGAAAAATCTAGTTTGATCTGTGGTGGAACTCAAGAAGGGCACTGATTATGGGGAAGAAATAGTGGAAAGAGATGAGGTCTTCTCTATCCCTGTTTCCAAACCCAGAATTTGAATAGAGACAAAGACAGCCTGAGGGACCTAAAAAAGAAACCAGACACACAGGGCTGCTTTGCTTACTTCTTCTGTGATCTCACAGACAAGGGGACATGGCTGGGGGCAGAGCTGATGATGGATGGGGGACAGGACCTGAAATAGAGGAAGTTAAGAAATGTGGGTGAGGCCCTAACAACAGTGTGGGCTGACTCACATGGGAAGAGTTGAGTATCCTGAGTTGAGTTGAGTATCCTGTCAGGCAGGAGGCCAGTTTTGAGACCCTGGACATCTCTCCTCTTCAGTCCTGCCAGTTCAGGGTGGGAGGCCCTAGGGGAGCAGTCTTTGTGCTAATCCACTGTTCTCTGACAGCCTGCCTTATCTCCCTAATGAGAAGATAAACTCCTTAGGAGCCAGGGTTTTTCTCCAAGAAAGCTGCTGTTTGTTTTAGATCCTCTAGGCTTAACCCTCTGTCAAGTACCAGCTATCAAACCCTAACATCAAGCATATGGGGTGTTTGTTTAAAATGCAAAATTTCAGTTCTTTTCCCTAGGGAGTCTGATTGTCTAGATTCAGGGATCCAGGTATCTGTGTTTTTAACGAGTACCCAGGCGATTCTTTTGATAAGGCAAATTTGGAAAACACTGAATTAGATAATCTCTTGAATCCCTTTTCGTCTTAAAGTCAAGCAACAGAGCTTAGTAAGAAGAGAACTGGGTTGGTAGTAAGGAGGTGGGTTCTGGGCCCGCGCCTGCCGTTCAAGGGCTTCTGGCTCTGCTATCAGCACCCTCACAGTGCCTGGGTGTCTGGGTACCTGCTGTCATCTTTGGTACTAATAAGAACTCTGTGCTGGGGAAAGCCTACACTGGAAGGAGGCTGCAGAACAGAGAAGGGTATTCACGCCCTGCCATCAAGATCTCCCAAAGAGTAGGGGACCTAGAATAAACAGAAGTGAAGGGAACATCAGTGAACAGTGGGTTCTGAGCATGCCCCTGGGGCTTTCTCTTCCACAGGATTGGCAGGACCGCGTTGTAGGTCTCAGCAACTCCCATTATACCCAGGGGGACACACTTAGATCCAAAGAAGTTTTTAAATGTGCCCGATGCACACTGCTAATCAGAGGAAGAGGGAACCCAGCTCCCTCCTGCCCTCACCCAGATCATTGGTGGGGCGCACGGCATGGCCCTCATATTTTCTTGGGGCTTGCGGGAGAGCCTCTAATGGTCAAGCGCATCTTGAGTCCCTGGACATTCTCCAGAATGGCCTGGAATCTCACATTTCCCTGATTTTGCTGAGTCTATTGCTGGTAGAGAGAACGGGAATCTGGGGAGGTGGGCAGGACTCAGGAAAGGTCGTGAATGGGGGAAGTGAGGGCCACGAGCCTGGAAAGAAAAGCTGCACAAGTACTCAGTATGCCGACGCTTTGAGGGCCTCGTCCAGAGGGGCGGCCTGATTGATCAAGAGCTCACACCTGACGCATGTAAACGCGGGCAGAACCCCAGCCCCTCTCTCCCCACCTGGGACATTCAAGGCTGAATGCGAGGTGAGGTCCGATTTTGCTGAAACTTTGTAGAAATTCCCTACGTGAGAAAAACTAAAAGACCAAACAAAACCCCTAAAACACCAAGCCCGATTCTTTCATCCACGTGGCACAAGAACAAGCCAAAAAAAGGGGGGGCGGGGGAAGAGTCACCCGTCCCGCCCCTGCTGGGAGGAAGGGATTTGCCGGGAAAGCCAATTCCTGACCCAGTCCGGTCGCTGCCGGGACGCGGCGGGGAGGGAGGTGGATTGAGAAAGCCCTGTTCCCACAAAGCCGCCGCGCGCCGGTCCCCTCGGCCCGCCCCGCCCCC